AAACATTTAAATTTATTAAAAACTAGGAATGTTGTTTCGTTATATTGTTTGAGGCATTTGGGAAAGAGAGATTTTTTTTTTTTTTTGGACCGTTTGTCGGGTTACCATTATCTTTTTGTAGATGAGAAGATTCCGATAAGTTGGACTTATATGTTACTATTGAAGTGGAAAGTTTTTGATAGTTCGAGGTATTTTTATGTCAGAGGTTTGAAGATAAAAGTTTACGTGTTTTGTTGAGGTCTTTGTAGACTGAGTATCCTTTGTAATTGGCTGGGTACGGATCACTACATAATTCGCATTTTGTGGGTACATTTTGATTTTTTATACATTGAGATTCATTTTGGATATCACCACAGCGTATGTATCTAGGTTGTTGGTTGCAATAAACACGCATGTGGCCTTATAATTGACAGTGAAAACTTTGGCGGATGTTTTTTTTTTTTAATATGAGTTACATCGAATTTTATTTTTGTATAACACAGGTTAACATGCAAATTTGGAAATGTTTTTATTCAGTTCTAAGTCAATAAAATATACAGAGAGAAGTATCTTAATTTTTCTATGGAGTACATTATTAATATTTCTCATTTGAAATCCTATGGACGATAGTTCTTAACTTATGAATTTTAATAAATATCTATTAAAGGATGTAGATAGGATGTAATGAATATTATATATGATTTATTTTCTTTGTTCTGGTAAAAATAGAATACAACCCGGTTATCTTTAAGATATTTGACAACAATTTTGTTTGAGTCAGGGTTATGTTCGTAATTTGAGGTCTTAGGAGGAAATTTTTCATTTATAGATGTGCACACGGGTGGTACAAATTTTGCTATGCACCACCTGCGATTTCAAGTTTATTTTAGAAATTAACTCGAAACATCTACTACCGATATTCGGGGTCCTAGCCCAACAACAAAATGCATAGACCTTAAGTAAAAATGCAAATTGATAAATATATTTTAATAGAAAAAAAATATTTGACACTCGTTAAGTTTTAAATATGTTATATTTATCTCATAATATTCTTGTATTATGTTATATTATAGAGATTATTCAGTTTAACACATCGTATAAAAATAGAAAAGTATTACGCCTACATATAATAATTATTATTAGGATTCGGAACTTATTGCATAAAAATTATAGGAATTATGCATACAAATAAATGTACTAAAAATAACCAAAATATACATAAAAATATACAAGACCATATATCTAAGACCATAATTTTACTTTCTATGATCAAATTATTTTTTCATCTTCTCCTCTTACGATGAAAAAAGATTTGGTATTATAAAAATGTAAAAATAAGTGCATGCTTACCTACAAAGTTGAACTACTGTAAAATTTGGAATTTTCTGATTTTTTCTAATTTAAATGCACGGCGAATGTTGGTCAGCATATTTCTATAAATTTAAAACCAACATTTCACGTATACTGACGTCATCGGCATATATTAAAAATTCACCATGTAATTTAATTGTAATATTTCAGGTAACATTTCAAAGATTTCTTGCTTTCCAGATTTTTAACTTTCATTTTTCTCCAACTCAGTTTCAATTTTTAATTTTACCATTTTTCATTGTACGCCATGACAATACTTTACAAGTATCTTATTACTACAAACATTAAATAACCAATCTCTTCTTCTTCTAATTCTTCTTCTTCTTCTTCTTCTTCTAAGGCATCTTAAAGATCATTAAGACTATTAATTTGGACAGTGTTGATATTCCAAAGTAACATATTTTGCTATTATCAATCTTTCTCTTATTTCTTTAAGACTAATCCCGGTTTCTTTCATTCACACTTTAAGGTGTTTGAAGTATTCTACTCTTTTAAATTAATAGCCCAAGACTTCTTACTTTCCTGCTCTGTAATGTATTCTGAATAATATTAGGTATTTTTTTCTCTTAATTTACGTTAAGACCGATTTCTTTATCTACCCTTATTAAAAGTAGTTCTTTTGCAGATTTTTTTTTTTTTTTGACACTCCTCATTTAGAGTAGTTATCAGTATACGCTAAAATTACAAGCTATTGGTTTTTATTCCTTCCTCTTAACTAGGGACTTGATTCACCACTGACTCTATGGCAATATTAAATAAACCCGGTGACAAAGCATGTCTTTGTCGAACACTATAAATTCAAATTTAAGTAAAAGGTCATTTAAGTAGTCTCCTCCAAAACTCACCTTGAATTTAGAGCCTTGTACGCACAATTTGATCCTTCTTATAAGCTTTTTTGGTATTCCTATCCGAGATATTACATTCCACAGTTTATTTTGATTCATTATGCTTCTTTAAAATTCACAAATAGAATATGTACGTCTTTATTGATTTCGTGGTTTTTTTCTGCTACTTTTTTTATTATATAAATCTAATATATTATCAATTTACCTACCATGAAACCTGCTTAGTTTCTTTAATAAATGGGTTCAATCTGTTTAGTAAGAGGTTAGACTTTGTACAAAGAGTTTAACAGAGAAATTCCTCTATAGTTCTTTGAATCCATTTTATCTCCCTTTTTATATACCGGGCATAGAGCAGACATCATCCATGACTCTGAAGTCTCCTACTGTTTCCATACATCAGTGATTAGGTTGTGAAATTTTAATTCTTTCCTCTTTTTTTTATTTATTCAGGGACTTTTTCATGAATTTCAGGGGCCTTTCCATTTTCAGCATTTCTAATCCCATTTCTATTTTTTGAAAAACGATGAATCATTGAAAAACGACCAACCATAACCAACTATAACTATCTATTACATTTTATTATATCATTTTTTTTTCATTATTTTTCATTACATATTATTAATTGACAAGTAAACAGAGCTTTACACAGAAATAATTAAATATTTCCCTAGTCACCATGCCCGATGAGGCGATGACTCTTTTTATGATTTGTTATATTAAGTATTAACGGACGTATGATACTAATAAATAAAAATAAAAATGTTAACATTTAAAATAAATTTACTTAACATAAAACATAAAAATGAGTAAATATGCTCTAAATAACAATTAAATTGTAAAAATCTCTCTAATATGCATTTTGCATAAAAAAACGGCAAAATATGCAAAAATATGCAATTAAAATGTTTTTATTTTAGTCCGCTATGGCTTAAAACAAATGTTTTATTTTACTCAGATTATTCTCCATCATTAGAAAATATGCAAATGAAAAAAGTCCAGAACCCTAGTCATTATAAACATATTGTTACTCGTATCTACCGTTGGACACTGATAATGATCGACGTCGTTACTATTTTTTGCAAAAACAGATACCCAATTATTTATTATTATGAAAGATATAATTAAGACTCTAGCTTCTGCAGTCCATGCAATAAGCGAATGTTTCGAAAAAAGAGTCGAATAACTCAAATTAGTTGCTCAAGTGACAATTGTAGAAGTGTAAAGACTAAATATATCAATAAAGTAAGGTTTCCTAAAAAAAAATTACTGCATTTTCAACTTTTTTTTTTAAATATAAAGAAGGAATTCAAAAATAAAGAAATACATTACTTGCCAATAATTTATATGCAAGATTATATTTGCATTCGAAATCTGTAGAATAGTAGGTTAAATTTGGTTAGGTTAGGTTTCCATCGAATGGCGAAATTAATGCTAGTGCGTACCTGCTTTGATTTATGTTCCTATTTCCTAGTTCTTTTAAAAAAATATATATATATATATGAGTAGGTATATATTTTTTATTATATTATATAAATATGTTACAGTTAAAGCATTTAATTTCGTTATTTTATGAAATAACTAGGTAGTTCAAGAATAACCTACGAATGTTAGTTTAAGTATGAAATCATACATGAAAATTATACTTGAACTAGTTATTTCATAGAATATCTAGTTATTCTATACGATTTTAGTTTAATATATTTCAAAGTACAAAATACATTAAAATTCATAATATATTATAACATTTTATTTATTTTAAATTTAATTCATTATTTATTTGTACACGCAAGGCTATTGTAGAGGCATACGAATCAACAATGAATACGTGTGACTGTAAGACTTTTAATAAACTTCAAACCTTACTAATGTTATTGATAATCTTAATAATAAAACATATACAACAAAAATTTTGTCTACACGATAAACGTACATGAACACTACAGTCACCAACGACAAAAACGGCAGTTTTATCTGATTTATTGCTATAATGGGTAGTAAAATAACGATATTGTATATGCATGAATATATTAATTTGACACATTAATGAAGTGATGCCAGTGAATGTATTAAATCACTAGTTAAAGTATAAATTATATACATTCCCTACACGTATACATCGAGTGATAATTGTCGTTCATCAACATTTGGACATCTTCGGCAGGAAGAGTAATTGGTAAAAAACGATTTGCAGTGATTAAAATATTTGTGTCTATTTCTCTTAACTGAGGAAGTAAGGGTTAGAGATTTTTTGACTGACCGTAACTACGTAAAAATCATTATTATTGTCTGAAAAGTCTGACACGAAGAGATGACGCCCATCTGATTAATTAATTTTTGAAATAATTAACGGCGGTACAGTTTTCTTTGCATTATTGTTATTTTTATTACGTTCTTCGTATATTTAAGAAATGTAATACATTTTATTTGTTACTTATCATTTTGATGTATATTGTTTATTTTTTTGATAAAATAAATTATAGATATTATTATTAAATATATATATATGGGTTTATATAGAATTTTTAAATTGTATAAAGGTCTTAGCGTTATCGTACGATTGTTGTAAATGCGTTATATGGTGATACTATTAATTCAAAGTAATTAAATTCAATCTGTTACCATAATACAGATAATACAGTATAACACTACAATTTAACAAGATAATTATGCGAAATCCATACGTCTAACACTTCATAACTTCACTGTGATCATTTAAATTCACTAACAACGTGTCTAAAGATGCTCGAGAAATCCCATGGTTACATGACGCTCAATTATATTTTAATCAAATTCGTTTCGATTTAGGATGGATTGATGATCGGAGATCAAGAGGACAATCAGGATGCAGTCGAAGTGATGCTGGTTTCGTACACCCGTGATGACGGCATTTCTGGACGTTCTAGTAATCTACAACAGAACTCCGTTAAAACCCAAGTATAAACATCTCAACGGTAAGGGACCGTCATTTTAAATATTGTCATTATCCCGTATGCAAGTCACGGAGACTTTACAATTATTATTTTAATATAATTATATGTACCTGTGTAACACAATATTTTTTCCAAAACACTAGTTCACGTCACCGAAGTAAATTATAATATTCTACGCAATGCTTACAACATATATCAACACCATATGATTAATTCATATAATAGTGTTGTATAATAAAAACGCCGTATAAATTGAATTCAATTATTTTATTATTTTTCTATTCCGTAAAGTATAAACTGATACAATGCCAATAACCCGTCACATCATCACATAGAGTGTTCAAACCATTTCATTATTTCATCTTGCAAAACTATCATTTGAATCTTAAGACTATTGTATAAACAATGGTGGCTCGTGAATTCTGGTGATGGAGATGAAATTTTAAATATTATACCTCTAGTCTTAGTTTTAATAAATTAAATATAAAATAATACACTAAACACTTATTATTACTTTTAAGCTTAATATTTTATTTCTCAAAGTATCTAAAAAATAGTACTCGTATAAGTAAATTATAGTATATATTGTTAAAAAATGTGTACATTGATAACAAGTTTACAAATGTATTAAATATGTACTCGCATTGAAATATTTTTTGACAAAATTACTCTATTTTTTTGTTTTCTTGAGAAAAATCTGTGAGTGTAATTTTATCAAAAAATAAATAGTCAAAAACATATCTGATCGCATGGGAAACCTCAAGATATGTGAATTTTGTTGAAAATTATATCAATATATTATGGTAAAGTCATGACTGATACGTATAATAATGGTATCCATTGGAGAAGACAATTGTGTAGGGAAACACACCCTAGGGAAAGGAGTAATTTATTTTACCAACTTATCAACAAAATATATTACAACAAGCTCCCGTACACGATACGAATAATAATGAAATATTCACAATACTATATCTAAATTTGAACTAAACTACTCTGCATTAAGCTTGAAATGCATTTCGCATGCCGACTTTTAATAATACTTAAATTAATAAATCAGAATTAACTATAAATACTGGCAAAAGAAACGGCGTTCACATTTTTAATTTCGATTATTTCAAACATCGTATGTACACACCATTGCGCTAGTGCAGTAGGTACGCCTTAACTGTTCATATTAAAATTGATTAAAATTGCATAAAATATTGTTCAAGTGGCAACATTTGACTGCGTGATAATAAATATTGTAAACGGTCGCGATATTATGATAATAAAAGCAATAATGTGTACGTATTTTATCAACATGTGTTTTTATAACGTCGCGACGTCGAAATAGAGGAAGTAAATAAACTAAATTGCGTAAATAAATTAATAATAAAAAGTTCTTCCTGAAGTTCTATCGGGTTGTCGTGTTGCACATAAATAATATTGTATTATGTAGATTTAAACGAAACTAATCTATACCCGATTCAAAACTTTAGCGATTAAATGCTATTAAGTATTCATAGAAGTTTGACTGTAATTTATTTTAATTGTTGAGGTTGTATGTAGAAATACATTTATTACAGTTGACCTCGACATAAAAATGATATCCGTCAAATTTTCTTTTTTGTATTTATAATTTGTCCAATAAAACTATTGTGATGAAAGTTGGGTCACGTAAGACGACAGATAATTAATTTTTATTAAAACTTTCTTTCTTTTTCCACTGTGCGAATTGTTGGAGAATTGTTATGGGTCTAAGAAACCTTGGATGTGCTGTCATAAACAGTATAACTTGAAAAATGGTTACCGTAGCTATTATTTTTCACGTTCCAAATCCTGGGATCACATCCGAACCGTTAAAATTCAACGTATTTCTTTAATAATAACACCACATTCCAGCTGACTATAATATGTAATCCATTATTCTACATATTATTTCATCCAACCTGGTTTTAGAGAAATCGAATAAATTTATGGAAACATTTATGACGGCGGATTTGTATTTAAATTTAGGCATAATATGCATAACTTAATCTTTAAGTACTAAGCTATAATAAATATTATAGCTTAGTATAAGTATATATAATAAATAATTATAAATTATTTATTATTAATATTACTTTTTTACTATATAAATTAATAACAGAATTATACATTCAGTTACTTAACCTAACTTCTATTTAACAATAATTTATTTAGTTTTATATTATTAATCGTAATGACTCGAAACATTAACTTGTAGTATAATAAGTACTTTTATTAGATTTTTACAGACATTTCATAATTTCGAAATATTTAAATGAAATTTGTGTTGTTTACTGTTTACTGTCATATGAAATAATATATATTTACCCAAATTTCAATTTTTTTTTTTTTTTTTTTGCAAAATTTAAACATTAAAAATACAATATGTAATAATATCAACCATCATTTGAAAAATAAACTAATCCACCGACCAATGAAAAAAAAAAAATGATTCAGTTGCAATTGCATATTGGTTTTAAATTTTAAAAATCAATAAAACATTACCATTCAACTATTCCTGAATCTTATCTAATCATCAGTCTAACCCGACCTTTTTATATGCGTTTTAATATAGGTAATGATTATCGGTGTAAACGTGTTTTTCAAACTCTGTTCAATTTGTATCGATATATCAACCATCGATTTCCTAATTCTATCCTAATCTTATCTAGCCTCGCAACAATAACAAAATATTATAGATGTGTACAAATACCAAATATATGCATTTTCCACTTAAATTTAAGGGAAATAAACCAACAATTTCGTTATGAATAGGGTTTGAAATTGTACGCTGAACATAAATATATAGTATCATATTAAGTTATTGCCTCTAGGGTTGGAAGTAAATTTTTAACTTGGGTTATAAATGTATAAATAAATGTAAGATTATAGACTGTAATATTCCTTAAATTATTCATGATATATATATATATATATGTGTGTGTGTGTGTGTGTGTGTGTGTATGTGTGTGTGGGAGAGGATATTCAAGGGGAGTTTAAGGAGTTCAACCCCTCCCGAAATGCAGGAAAATTATTAAATATGTTTGTATATAGTAAAAGTGTTATACAGATTATATAATTATGAAAATATACATCCTAAAACCTATCCCAAAATACTTTTTTGTGTACGCGCCTATATTTAAACGGATTTACCAACAATATTAAAGTCGCTATTATTTTAAAATGTATCCCCTAAAATGTATCGTGGACTCAAAACTACTTAAAGATCGAAATAAATTGTACATGCAAAATGAATAATTGTATTTTATATTATATACCTTAATATTTTACTCCTGAAGGTTTTCAGTTTCTTTTATGTATATTATATTTTATTACATACTAAAAAATGATTCTAAAACAAGCTTTGTAAAAGTTATATTTAGTTGAAAGGTGTTAAAATAAATTCAAACATGTTATACATATATTTAAAATTTATTATTATTGAGTTTTGTTATTTTTATTTATAACCACTTATTTTAAAGTAACTATAGTTAAGTAAAAGCATGCAAACATATTACTACATTATTGCATTAAAATATATTCTCCATGCAAAAATATTATTTTTGTAAATCTGTTTATACAGGAACATTTTTTTTTCTCTCAAATGAACTTTATTTTCTATGTTGACAAATAGGAACATATACGTAAATATGTTATTTTTAAACAAAAGTTATATTTTCTGTATAATATAAAACTTCATTCTATGAAATTGGTTAAATTAATAATCTCAATAAATGTTTTTGATTCCACTACATATGTATTTCTGAATATTACTTACAAACGAAATATATTTTTATAACCGTATGTGAACATCTATTCATTATAAAATATAAATAATTCAATGATACATATATAAGAATTCGTATTAATTTATTTTTAGTTGAGATACGTTTTATCAATCGAAAAGCCTTGCTAAAAATGTCATGTTTATTCCGAATACAAGTAATTTTAATGATGAGAAATCGATGATCTTCTCTTGATTGATGTTGATTGATCACAGCTCACTATTTTAGAATTCTTAATATTTCTACTCTTATCGTATAAATGTATATGGGCAGTTATAGTTTTATTCTACTTCCTATTCAATAAAGAAAAATATTCGTAATAAATATTAATACGTATTTTAACTTCATACCGTTTTCGATGTACGGAATGAATAAGGGCTAGTATTATATTTTTGAACATCATGAAGAACCTATACTATCATTGACCGTGGATTAAAAATAATTATATGTTAAATTTGAAAATCAATGAGTTGTATAAGAGTGTAGTCAGAATAACAGCGTATATTTTTAGTAACAACTACATATCCCAAAAATGGCATGCCAATATCTACAAAAAAATAAAATAAATTAAAATTAAAAAAAATAATAAATAAAAAAAATTTAAGAAATAACAAATTTTATTAAAATGTTTTTTCATTTGTAAAGTTCAATTAATTTTGTTACTCGAGTAATTATAATTTGTTTCGGCACTTGCGTTACAGCCTTTTTAATATTAAAGTGATTTAATATTTGAATATTTGAAATAAAATAATAATATAATAATATAATATATAACATATATAACATATATAATAATATAATATTTGAATTAAATTTACTGTAATCAGTTGAAAAAAAAACTATTCAGTGTTGAAAACAAAAACACAATATTCGAATAAAACGGTTTTCGGTAAACTTACAAATAGTATGCTTATAATGTACTAATTGTTAATTAGTTAATTTTTTCAATTGATATATTTTACGATAAATTTAGTGTGAATTATGTGCCAATTGTTTGAGCAAAATTATGTTGAAAATACATTATTGATACATTAATTTGATTAAATTTTTTTTATTCATTAATGTACTAGCAAAAAACTAAAAATAATCGAAATAAATTATAGTATAATATAATATGTAAAAAAAGCTCATCGAGTAAAACGTAAAAATATTTCTACTTGACATCAATATCGTGATGAAATAAAGAAAATAAAGAGAAACCATAAGATATGTCATTCGAAAATATAA